TCAGTTTGAAGAAGACTCCCCTTTCCTATTTTCTCCCTCTCATAACTCTAGGCATGATTTTAAATACAGGAGCAACTCAATCAAAGAAAGATGCATTCAAATTTCCAAATAGGCTGAGAGCTATACTAAATATTGCAGGTTTGAAGGCATTTACAGAGCACTGGAGCACATCTGAGCATATTCCAATACATGCTGCCTTTGGCATAAAACTTTAAAAACATGGTAAGAGTCATTCTTATTTGGAAAAAGCTCAGTTTTTATCTTTTTTTCCTCCTTTTTCCTTTCATCTATCAGAGGGCTTTATACCTCTCATATTACCTCCAATATTGATGTACATTTGAAGTATACCATGATCACACCAGTATATGCTATATAGAGTCTGTTAACATAACAGAAGTCAGAGACAGCAGGAGAACAGTAAGGTTTTATTTTGCTACCATTCATCAAAGTTCTGACAGATTATTCCATAGAGAGGGGAGAGTAGTGAGAATCTTGAGTTCCCTTGCCAAGCTAAACGTGACTTCCACAGAAGTTTGGGTGTCCTAAGTCTCCCAGGCAGGGTGAATCAACAGATGCACAGCCCTGGACAAGACAAACTCTGAAATCACTCACAGAAATGCGATCTTAGGTCCTTCCAGCCTGGTATTCTGATTCTAGAAAGAGTACCTATATACATTTTATGGGTCAGAATGACCCAAAAAGCTTGGGATATGCCTTAAATCTGTGATTCCCAATGGAAAATGATCACATCTGAATTACAAGAAGAGCTTTTTCAAACCACATCTGTCCAGAGGCAATTTTTTTCCTCTCCAGGGAGAATCAGAAACTCCAGGAAGGGGAACATGGACAGTCCTTGCCAAAGCTCCCCGCCAGCTTTCATACTTGGGAAGCACCTGAACCCACATGTGAGCTTGCTTACACACACACACACACACACACACACACACACTCCCTGCTTCTAATCTACGTCCTGAGGAATCCTAATGAATCATCCGCACAACCATCTAAACGCCTCGAGAATCTATTCATAGTCATCCTACCTTCCTCTAGGGAGTAGAAAGTCAACTGTGTGTCAAGTAATACAGTAATCAAAGGGCATCCAGAAACTTCACAGGCTTTGTTCTTCTGAAGAGTTGAGCTTTCCAAATAGCTGAAGATCTGCCCATTTAAGTACCAAGCCTTCTTTTTTTCCAGCAATTTTGGATACAAAACTCTCTAAAATTCACTGCATGAATTCAGCTTCCTGAATATAGTTTAGCCTCACCTTCACAATTCAAGGCTCTTGTTATAAACATCCATTTCTGTACTGAGGCTAGAAGGGGGAGTTTATTACTGAAGGCTGCAAAGACATCCAAATGGCAGCTGAAGGCAAGTGGAAAGTTGGAGAACAATAAGCCAAAAATGGGACTGCAAATAAAGAGGCCACAAGCAGATGTCACAAGGGTGCCAAGGAGACGAAGAGTGGGTTAACTATAAACAGGTTAAAATTTAGGAGAATTGCGCACGATAAGCATTGCATTCTGCAACTTGGTTTTCTGGGCTAGCATCACTGTGGGGCAGGGGCCAAAATCTCAAGTCAAAAGGGCCATCTGCAGCTGTCAGACTGTCTTCCTCCAGCCCTCCTCTTCCAATTCTGTGTTTCTCATTTCTTGTGGTCCTAGAGATAACCAATCTAGTCAGAAGTGGATAAACGGCCAATGGCTGCCTTTCTGGTAAGTCAGCTGTGTGTGTTTTGTGTTCTGTTAGAGTGTCAGGGATCACTTTGACTTACTTCCTGGACCTTGGCTGTGTTTCAGGAGGTTAGATTGCTGCATAGCTGAGCTCCAGATAGATAAGGAGTTGTTATTCTTCCTTATTTTTCCTCTAAAACCATCTCCTTCCGGATTCCCGTGTTCAGTGACAGTGAACAAGCCCATGCTCATTTTCTCCATACTTTGAGCTTCTATCTTGGGTTGCATCTTTTCCAGTTGGCGGACTCTAATCTGTGTAGATCTTGTTGCTCCTGTCATGGGGCAGCCAGTGCTGCAGTAATCTCTGAGAAGGGACTCATCCACTAAGAACACACTAAGATCCTCTAAATTACCAGCCTCTAGGGACACATCCCCTCCCGGAAATGAGCTGGCCTCTGAGAGAAGGCATGTCACCAGTAATCCTGCTATCAGAGGCCACTCCTTAGAGCATAAGGTCAGGACAAAGAATAACAGTGATTTAGCAGCTTACATTGCAGGCAACAAAACCTAAGAGACCTTGCCTTCCATGTACTGAAGTCGTGTAATTGAAGCGGGACCAAGGACAACAATCTATGGTGTTGTCGTCCATCTAGAGAGACATGTAAGAGAGATTTAATTGAAAAAGAAGAAAAGGGGCAGGCCCCGTGGCCTAGTGGTTAAGTTTGGTAGGCTCCACTTCAGCGGCCTAGGTTGGGTTCCCGGGTGTGGACCTGAACAACTCGTCAGCAGCCGTGCTGTGGTGGTGACCCACGTACAAAATAGAGGAAGACTGGCACAGATGTTAGCTCAGGGCCACTCTTCCTCAACAAAAAGAGGAAGATTGGCAACAGATGTTAGTTCAGAGTGAATCTTCCTCAAAAAAAAAAAAAAGAATAAAAGAGAGGAGGTGTAATCATGTTTTTGTTTTTTTGCATCGCTTTGTAATCTATCTGGCTACCTTTAATCCAGTTTCTTTTTCAGAGAACCCAGCCTTTGCTTTCCCTCCAAATATCACTCCACCCTCTGGCCGGCCTAGTTTCTCTTATTTTTCTTCTATTCTGGCTGATACTGAGGCAAAGAGGAAGGAAAAGATTTGCTATGAACAGCACGGTATGTGGTGCAGAGCAGGCACTTGGGAGTCAGAGCTGGAGTGGTGTCCCAGCCCTGCCACTTCCTAGCTGTGTGACCTTGGCCAAGTGACTTCATTTCTGTGTGATTCAGCATCTTTCTCTGTAAAATGGAGAAAGAATATAGTAGTAGAAAGAATACCTCAAATGGGTGAAGATGGTCAAAAGGTATAAACTGCCAGTTATATGATGAATATGTCCTGGGGATGTGATGTACAGCATGGTGACTGTAGTTAACAGTACTGTACTGTAGACCTGAAAGTTGCTCAGAAAGTAGATCTTAAAAGTTCTCATCACAAGGGAAAAAAATTGTAACTAAATGAGGTGATGGATGTTAACTAAACTTGCGGTGATCATTTCACAATATATACATATATCAAATCATTATATTGTACACCTTAAAGTAATACAATGTTATATGTCAATTATATCTCAATAAATACGGGAAAAAAGAGAAAACCTCATTGTGCAAACTTCAAAACACAGCTGTGAGTATTAACTGACAATACCTATGAAATGCTTAACAGAAGGTTTCGTGTACAGGAAGCCAACTCTGTCTGACACTCTACTCGGTGACGGGAAGCAATGGCTGGCCTGTCAGGCTCTGCACTGCTCTCAGTTGCTCTCACAACACACTTTAAGATTTGAAGGTCTCTAAGGAGAGGTCCTTGAGGACTCATATTAATAAATAAGAATTATTTTTCATAAACACACATGTAAACTAGTATTTGAAAACTGTTTTAAAAATTTTAAACTTATCCTCTGAGATCTCATATATGATGTTTATTTGTATAGTAATTCCCCATTTCATAAGAGGTTCCCACATGCAGAGGTCAATTCCTTTCTTTTCCTCCAATAAGTCCACTTTTTAGTCATATTGTCATATATGCCTACTCCTTAACACTGGGGTTCTCGGGGTCTGTTCTTAATCCTCTTTAGTTTCCCCCTACATGCCCTCCCAGGAGGGCAACCTTCTCCCAGCCCCCTCCAGGCGCTGAGCACCATCTATCTGGTACTCTCAACAGGCCCCTTCAAGACTCTGTCTTTGCATGGGCTGCTCCTTCTGCCAAGAATGACCATCCCTCACCCTGTTTAACAGACACCTCACAAGGCACCACTCAAATGTCAACTCCCTGGTGAAATCTTTCCAACTCTGCCCTCTCTGCTTGCACACACCATTCACAGGACACTACAATGCATGTGCAGGTCTGCCTCCCTCACCAGACTCAGGGCTTTTAGAGCAGTGCTTTATTGTGTACAAGAATCCCCTGGAGATCTTGTTATGCATAAGATCTTTAAAGATGCATAAAGATCTTGGAGATCTTTAATGTGCATAAGAATCACCTGGAGATTCTGATTCGTAAATCTGGGGTGGGTTCCGAGATTCTGCATTTCTCACACCTCTTAGGGGTTACTGATGCTACTTGCCCTGTAGACTCCACTTGAGTAATAAGCTTTTAAGAACATCTCTGAAATCTCAGTAACTTGGCACTTCATCATCATCATCATCATCCCTTTGGACACAGCAGCCCAGCAACTGTACTTAGGGAGATGAGAGAGATGTCAGTGCTGCCTGAAATAATGGAGGACAGGGGTGGACAGAGGACATGTGTGTGTGTGAAGCAGCGGGCATGGATTGGAGAGAGTGGGTAGAGTCAGAGAGGAAAAGAAGACAGGATGAGGTTAGTGAAGAGAAAGGAGGTAGCAAAGAGAGGAAGAAAAAAGAGTGAAAGACAGGGAGAGAAGACAACAGGAAGAAAGGAGAGAAAAGGAGAAAGGGTCAGCCATAGGATGAGAAAAGGAAGGTCAGCTGACTTCTCTCCTTAGCGTGGAATCAGGCCTACATTATCCGACTTTCCAGAATGGGGGGGTGGATTTCAGGACTAAAGCCCTCCCACGGGGGGCGGGGGGGGGGGTACTCCAGCCATTCAAGCCACAGAAAAAGTGCGCCCAGAACTTCAGCACTTCATTCTAAAGGTTCTTCCCTCCTGAGCGAGTGAGGAATGAGCTATCACTGTAACAGTAACAACAAATGAGGGCCTATATCATGATCATGAATGTACAGAATGGTTTACATCTGCACAGAAAATCTAAGACAGTAGAAAGTCTTTTATCCTAAGACTTCAAACTGATTGTCCATTAAAACAACCCGAACAAAAGTTACCTGGTATAATTCAATCCGTTGTTCAGGCACTCTGGCTTTTGGGTTCTGTAAACGAAAGACTCTGAACTCTGCTTTCACCAAATTGGAAGCATTCTTCTCCATCGCTGAGACATCAAATCGGACAATTCTGAAGTAGGGTCTGTAGAAAGTGGGCGGGATGGCATCTGTAAAAAGTTAGGGCAATCATTGAAAATGATAAAATCCATTGTTCGCTTGTAAAGGACCACGCAGCATGAGATAGTCTGAAGAAAACTATAAGGGAAATGTCTACAGAACGATTTGGTTTCCAATGGCCAATTTAATACCATTACGAATTTAACCAGAAAAAAAACAAACATGTGCATTTGATTACAAGAGTAACAGATTAAGAGAGATTAACAAACCACTTCCAACTCCATCTGAGGGCATGCCATTAACCCTATCCTTTGAAAGTTGACAGAGAGGTGGAAAATCCTAGATGCTTATGAATTGGAACAAGCTCATGACGGTTGATGCCTGGAGAAATCTGACGTGCCTGCACACACTTTAATCATATGGGCCAAGAAAATAGCTCCTAATGGCAAGCAGTTTGCCCATGTATTTTTTTTTTCCTTGAAATTTTGGCATTCAAATACTCTACTGTATCCAGGTTCATGTATTGCAGCATTTTTGGCCTCGATATTTTGGTTTTTCACACACGTCTGACCAAATACACCCTCTAATCAAGTTAGGGTGAGGAAATTTGAATTAAAAAACTATACCCACATACTGGCTACACCACGTCCAGTCTTAATATTCTTTATTCAGGATAATGTCTGTTGGTGGGAGGGAATCCTGGCTAATGAAGGGAAAGAATCAGCCCAAATTCCTTCAGTTCTGAGCCATGTAAAATACAGAGATGCAGGGGCTGGCCCGGTGATGTAGTCATTAAGTTTACGCGCTCTGCTTTGGCGGCCTGGGGTTTGCAGGCCCAGATCTTGGGTGCAAAACTACACAACACCCATCAAGCCATGCTGTGGCAGCGTCCCACATACAAAATAGAGGAAGATTGGCACAGATGTTAGCTCAGCGACAGTCTTCCTCAAGCAAAAAAAGAATACAGAGATGCAGATAGTACACAACAATTTCACGCTCATGGGTTGCTAGAGTTTTGCTGTTATTTTGTGGTAATCTGTCATTGCCTTTGAATATACAACTTAGGCTACACCAAAACCAAAGCAGGTACTAATTCTACCCCCATGCTTCATATACAGCATCCATTTATCGAGTACCTACACCTGGCAGGCCACTTGTTACAGGTATGTTCCTACGATTCTCTTCCAAAGTCTCCTGCAAACTTACTTTCATTATTCCAGAATTCTCCATCCAACTCTGGTGGCTCTATTACTTTCTACCCTCTCCTCAATTATGTAGCTTCACTACAACATAACCATTGTTGATGGCTCTTTGCAAATGTTTTTATTACTTCTGAGTCATGTTTGTTTATTGTGTTTGCCCCCAGGAAATTTTAAATTCTTGAGGGCAGAGACCATATTTGCCAGGTCTTTCTTTTTCCCCACATCCCCAGGACAGGGCTCTGCACACATGGAGTTCACCAACTAGCCACTGTTTGCATAGTTGGTCATCAATGGGAGTCTTGAAAGACTCAGGCATCTGGCTATTGGCAAGACTAACTTATTAAATAAATGAGCCATCTTGCCGACCTTAAAATAGAAATAAATACCTTTCGTGATTTCTTGGGAAATCCATGCCCTGACGAATGCACTGAAAAAAACGCTGGGAACACAACAATATTTCCTCATCATTAGAGCTCTGCACTTCTCTGCTCCATAGAGGCTTTTCCCTGTCCCTTTCTCCATGTCCTGTGACTCTCAGAACGCAGCTCATGGGGAAGCCGTGAATTCCTAGCCATGCTCTGTTCCATGACTGCTTCATAAACCACTGTATGAATTGAGGCCTTGTAGCTCGTGACCTAGAAGCCTCAGAAACAAACAAACAACAACAACAACAAAAAAAACCCCAAAATCTAAAGCATCCAGGATTCGGAGAAAAGAAGGTATTCATGGGGACACAGTGATGGCCCGCTGCATGGCAACCGAGAAAGAGTTAGTGGACAGTTTTCAGGCGGGCCAACACTCACAGAAGCAGAAAGGTTTCTGGAGCCCCCTAGCATAGCAATTTGAAAAGGTAGCTGCTGAGAAGAAATTGATCTTTCTCTTCTCTGGAACACGGCCCCCCCAGCTGATGGGACAGGCTGGTACCACCCTGACCAGCTCAGCTGAAAACAGGCTGGACGCCCAGGCGGAGAAGCCTAGGCAAAGCTGGGGCCAGGATCTCTAGCTTCGCACACTCTCTAGTTTGGCCAGAACCTTCCCCAGGCCTAGTGGCTGCATTCATCTTCGCATGGCCTCCCCCATTAGACAGCAGAAGCTTCAAACACGCTTTGAAACAGCATCCTGAAAGAGCAAAGCTAATTCAGTGTGTTTCCTGTCATTAGGAAGAGTAAACATCTCGTTCATTTTCCCCCTTCCCCTCCAGTGGAACCCCTGCAGGCCTGTTCTACATCCACAAACACCCATCTTTCACACCCGCCCGCCTCAATCTTATCCTTCCATCAAGTTTGTAAATAAGTGCTCTTGAGATTTATTTTTATTCTCTTTTGTGTTTATTAAACTTTGACCAATTTTTTTCCCTTTCTGGTCTTCTGCCCATACACACTCTTTCTTTTTATGGCCGCTTCAGACCACGAGGTCAATTTTGTTTCTTCTTCTTCTAAGCAAATTGTCCAATGATCCTGTCCTAGGCTTTCGAGCTTTGAAGGGGCGTTTGCAAATATTTACAGGAGTAGCTTGATAGTTAAGTGCAGTTCTGCTCTGCTCCCTATACACTGGCAAACAGCCCTCCTCCCCTCTGGCTATTATAACCATTCCGGCTGTTTATATTTCGACTGCCTGATAACACAAATCCGCATTTTTGGTTCTTGTTTTACAAGTAGAAGCAGTTAATGTACGAGCAGCCCCCACCAGCGACTCTGCTTTGGTCTTGTAACCACAGTGAGGCGGCCAGGCCAGGAGGAAACACAGCCTTCCCCACATCTCGGCTCCAGCACACAGGAGCCGGAGCTCCCTCGATAAAGACTGTTGACCACAGAACTCACTACCACTTCTAAGGGTCGGTCCCAGATGTCCCCTGCTGTCATCTGCTGTGGGTCACCAGCCCCCTGCCTGGCTGAGGAACTCGAGCGACTTGCCAAATGTTTATGCATTTGGGGAAAAAAAGAGTCACAGCAAATTGCTCTGGCCTAATCTGTGACCCTGCCCTTACCTCATAAAACCTTTTGGATACATGGTGCAGGGAGGACCTAAAGAGGCCCAGCTACACCCAGCCGGAGGCGATGGGCTCGCGCCCTGGGCTCATGGCGCCAGGGAGGCATGGTAGGTATTTAATGGCTTGTGCAGCTGATCCACCCACCTAGCCTTGGAGGGATGGATCTTTTTCCTCTGCTTTCTCCAGGAACTCATTTCCCTCTTTGGAATGGGAGTTCTCTCTGAAGTCCTCTGTAATTCCAATGTCAGTTCCTATCCTAGCGCCAGGTGGTCAGGTTCTCGTATTTGACCTTTGCCAACTTACCCACACTCGCAGCCTGGCTGGCTCTTTCCTCTCGATTTCTGACCCACTTTTTTTGGTTCAATCCAATTGATTTTCCTTCAACCCTTTGGATTTCCAACCAGCAGGCTGATTCTGCTCCTCCTCCCATGCTTTCGCATGTGTCTTTCTCTCAGGGAAAATCTTGCCCAAAGGAGATTCCAGAACGTCATCAAGTGAGTGGTATTCCCCTCACTTCAACCCTGGCCACACAACCCTGCTGAATCAAACTTTGGGGAATGGACAGAAGAAAAGAAATGAGGAAAGCTAACTAGTTATTAATTTACCAAGTAACAGTGTACAGAAAGCCTAGCTCCAAAGCTGTTCTAAATAATTTATTAGCTCATTGTATATTATTTTCTCCCTATGTAAACACCTGGAGCTCAGGAATCTTTATTTATAGTTCTGTGGTTCTCCGCAGCCCAGGGCTGGCTTCATGGGCATGTGACCACACAGATACACAGGGTCCTTACGCTCACAGAAGCCTCACACTTGAGTTTAAAGCTCTATGGTCGCCATCTTGAAATCCTTAATCATTTCATCTTTGAATTTAGGCTTCCTAAGTGAAGTCTGATGGGACAATGGAGCATGCGCAGGGGGCATGGAGCCTCGGCTCCTGTGTTGACCCACCTCCCATTACCTGCGGGCCTTCCTAGGATAGGCTCTCAGCCCCCTGCCCCTCCATTCTGGTGCCCCAGCCTCACCTGGGAGAATGGGGGTCAGGCACACACACCTGAACCATCTCAAGGGAGGGCATGGCTATCCCCACCCGAGGCTGGCAGTGCTGCAGCGCATTCAGAGGGCAACTCAGTAGGAGCCTGCCTCTCTCCCGCTCTTGATCCAGGGACCAAGCACATCCTAGTGCAGAGGCTGCAATCCTATGGGTTGGAGTGATGGTTCCATGGCAAGGGAGACGCCAGGTTCAGCGTGGCATCAAGTCTGGTGGCTGGTGGCAGAGGGAACCCAGCAGCTGGTGGGCTACACAATTCAAGTTATAAGGCAAGGCCCCAGATGTCTGTGAGAGTCTACTCCCACTCTGGGAGTATCCTCTTACCCAGGGGAACACAACATTAAAGAGCACATCAAAAACACTGTGACAGGTCAAGAGAGAGAGACCATGGAACAAAAGACAAAGTTTCATATTTTATAATCTTCAACAGTACATTTTTCCTGCTTTTTAAACAAGAAGCCCCACATTTTCATTTTGAAAAAGAGTCCCACAAATTTTGTAGCTAACTCTGCCACAGTCACACATAGTTATAGGATCTTAATGCAGTGAGGGACCTTTAAGGCCATCTGAATTTTAATCCCAAATCAACTAGTCCTAGCTATGTGGCAACAGGGACATTATTTGGCTTTTCTGAGCTTGTTTCCTCATCTATATTGAGGTAAATAATTTCCTACCTCATATGTATTGAATTGTGTTGTCAGGACTACATAAGCAAGCAGATGGAACGTTTGAGCCCTGGGTTTAGCACAAATTTCCCCTCAGAAAGGTCTCTTCCTGTCCCCCTTCCCATCCTGCAACAAAGCTACCAAG